GAAGATACTGCAATACAGTAAAACACAGTAAATTTATAGTAAAACACAGTAAATCATAGTAAAACACAGTAAATCATAGTAAATTATAGTAAATCATAGCATAATGTACTTGTGCATTAGATCCAATGAAGTCCAGTACTGCAGTGGCGAACCCCTTGGGGTCCTCCAGTACAAAGGTTGGCTGCTCGTTATAAACACGAATATAGACCTCACCAATAACCAGTTCATCCTTTAGCACGGAGTACTTGAAGTCCTCACCAAATGACATATCACACTCTCCCTAAAGAGAGAGAGAGAGAAAGAGAGAGAAGAATAAAATAAATAAATAAATAATATTTATCAATATGTAGATCATGTGACTTACTGATCTAATCATGCTCTTTTGCTGTGTCAGCAAATAGTCGGTCAGTTCAGCTCTGGTCCTGTTATCCCATATAAGGTAAGGATTCTCAGTGTTACTATTCAATATCTTTAGCAACTAAGGAAAGAATGATGGTGATGTGATGATCATGTGATGATCATGTGATGGTGTCATACTTCATTTGTTGTGTTTCTTGATATTAGTTTAGCTAAGTATGGAGTGAGTAGGTTGGAGAATATGGACTGTATGGTTTTATTATAAGGTGTTCCTTCACTGCCAGCCACTGTTTCAACAACAACAACAACAACAACAACAACAATAATAATAATAATAATAATAACAATAGCAGCTCACATTTAAATCCTCCTAGTCTTGCAGCTGCTACCAAACTAAGTCTCGCCAGATTATTAGCAACTTCCTAACAGGATAAAGACAGTATAATGGTATAATGGTACATATAGTGAACATTAATGTCTCATTCTTTGATTAGTTAGTGGCTGACCTGTTGGTTGGTTGATTCGTTGGTTTCAACTCCACTTTCATCAAGAGTATAATCATAATTGAATATATACTGTAACACATGCCACAGGACACCAGCCTACAAAAAAGCAGAGAAGTTAAATGATAAATTTACAGTAATTTAATTCTCCCTTACTTGTAGCAGCTGTGTCTGTAACCACTCATCAACGGCAAAAGATGAAGCAGTTTCTGTTGCTATTACATTTAATCTTGGAAGGTTCTAAAAATAACAAAAAAACGTTCAAAAATAGTTAAAATTATACATTAAAATACTGATCATTATAATTAAGTTACCTTATAATACATAATTCTACAGAGGTCTTTGACAATGTTGGGTGTCTCCACAATCGACTCACGACACGTCTCAAACTGAGAGGATACTCTATAACACTTGGCAATGTGTGAACAGACCTAGTTAATTAATAGTTATTAGGGAGTGGGGCTTGTTGTCACGCCAACCTGGACAGACATGTCGTCCTCTTTGCTGGACTCAGAAATGACATTAACACACCTGGCGAAGGCTGCTTGAAGGATCTGAGAAGAAGAAGCAGCACATTTGTATTAAAAATTAAAAATAGAATAAATATAGAAGTACATGTACATGCAGGATAGTAGAATTCTATGATGCTAAAATTTAAAAGTAAAAAACATGTACACATTAACTTACTGGTATTCCATTCTCTCTACACAGCTCCTCTGAGTTCAATGCACTGTTGTTCATAGTGTGATAGGCCACTTCACTAGCAGCTGTCAGGATTGGAGCCGATTTAGAAAACAAGTCCTCATCGCCTGTTTCTCTCTCAATGGTCTTTATAAGCATAGGGTACCCGGCATACTTGTATG